AATCATAAACCTTATTACTAAGCATAGCTTTTTCCTCCTTTTGTTCACACAGATGATTGGTCTTACAAAGCCAACCTCTGGCACAGCATTCATAAATGGTTTTGACATAAGAACAAACATGGATGAGATATACTCTATGATCGGTGTTTGTCCTCAGGACAAGTAAGTTTTATTCACTCTCTCTGTCCTACGTCCCCTACTTGAGGATCTTTTGAAGCCATAGTTAACAATTTCTTTTTCTCTTGATAACTGCAGTCTTCTCTGGGAAACTCTAACAGGACGGGAGCATCTAATGTTTTATGGTAGACTAAAGGGCCTTAGAGATGCTGCCTTAAAAGAGGTGCTTGCATATCTCTCTTAACGAATCGTGTGTTGGATAATCTCTTCATATCAACATTATTGCTAGATGGATATGTTGAATAATCTCTTCATGTCAACATGGCTTTGTACCATGCAAGATTTTTCATAGTTATTGAAGTTTTTAAGGATGTATATTGGTGGGTTTGGATCAATAAATTTTGGCAGAAACAGGCAGATAGTTTAATTCCTAATTTTAGTATTCACTTCTTACATGAATTAGGCAGTGGAGGAATCTCTTAAAAATGTCAATTTATATTACGGCGGTTTTGCTGACAAACAAACTGGGAAGTACAGCGGCGGTATGCAGAGGAGACTAAGTGTTGCTATATCCCTGATTGGAGATCCCAAGGTTTGTTCTTAGCATCATATAACCCTTTTGTCCATTAAAGTATTTCTTGATTTCTTTTCTTTAGCACGATGTATATTTTTCTAATCATTCAAGCAGCAAAGGCTGATTCTGTTTCATGTAGTCATGTAAGTAAGATCAGTGATATATAAAGTCTTTTTTCAAAGGTTGTATTCATGGACGAACCTAGCACTGGACTAGATCCGGCTTCCAGAAACAATCTGTGGAATGTTGTAAAGCGTGCAAAGCAAGATCGAGCCATTGTTCTTACTAGTAATTTTTTTTACCTGTCCTTTTTCTATAGCTCTTGGTGTTTTGCATCGCCACTGACAATTTATGGCTCAAACAATTTCACAGCACACTATGGAAGAAGCTGAAGCTCTTTGTGACCGGTTAGGTATTTTTGTCAATGGTGACATGCAGTGCATAGCGGATGCAAAAGAGGTTAATCTCTTCAAAACTCTTTTTCCATACGCACCTCCTAAGATCGGGTTATTGTCTGAAGTCATGCATAAAATATCTTAGGTAGTCTTATATATAAAGATTATATGATTAATCAAGTAGATGAGCTTAAGGTTATGCCATGTTTCATGTTATTTTATTGACTCTTCTTCATGAACTCTCAATTATCCCTGTTCTTAACCCTTTCTATTGACAGTTGAAGGCTCGATATGGGGGATTGTTGGTGTTCACCATGACGACCACAGTAGACTACAATGCGGAGGTGGAAAATATGGTGAAGCTGATCTGCCCTAATGCCCACAAGATATACCACCTTGCAGGTACCCAAAAGTTTGAGCTCCCAAAAAATGAGGTCAGGATTGCTGATATATTTCAGGCTGTGGAGATTGCGAAGGGTAGGTTCCCGATTCAAGCGTGGGGCTTGGCAGACACCACCTTGGAAGATGTCTTCATCAAGGTTGCTAGGGCTGCTTAAGCTTGGTAATTTAATTTAACTTTGAATGAAAATTTTGTTGGAATTTGGATCAAGGATTTACCAATTAGCATAAGATTTACTTAGTGGAGCGATGTCAATATCCAAATCATAAAATGTAAAGTACTATTTAGGGGAGATGTACTTAACGGCTAAAATATTGGGAAATATGTTTATAGTTTAACCAATCGACCAATCTAAAAGGTAGAGTGTGAACTAATCTAATTAATTGGTTCACTTCTTCTACTTGAAAGTTGGCTAACTAGATTTATTTGTGTACTACTCATTTGTACTTGTAGAATAGTGATCAAATACTGCACATGCTACTATTCTACACTGCAAAACACTTGATGCAACAAAGTGAAGCCTGCTAATAAAGATGAGTTTGGGCTAGGCCTCGCGCATCTCAGGCTCTCAGCAAGCCTAAGGTACAATTTACGGCTGGGCTCACTGCTTATGTTCTTATGACTAATGTAAGATGTGCTTGTAGGTTTCCTCTCTAAGTGGACCAATCTCTCATGTTCGTGCCAATTTTTGAAAATGATATCAATACACAACCCGCTGATGGATGTATTATATTGGATGAACAGTGGGCTCAATACGTCCCATGCCAAGCGAGCTCAATTTGTGCCCTGTCCTTCCTAACCAATGCTTATAAGCACCACAATGTTATATTTGTAAGTTCTGGCCCATACTATAGATTATTGCCCAAATATTGTCCATTGACCCAAGTCACCCAACCGTTCAATCTCAACTACTATGTTTGACACAACTCACATGTGGCCATGTAGGTGAAGGTGGCAACTTGATCATTTATTTCATGTTTGAATTTCATATGAAGAAATTTATTAATTGGTTTAGAATAGAGCTGATTAGTGGGTAGAGTAGTCCAATGATAACAGAGTCAAGGCCAAGCTTAAATCGCATTTAATGGACATGGCTTTTAACGAATAGGATCCTATTGGTGGGATCAATATAGGGCAAAAATGATTTTCAAATTTAGTAGACAAACAAAATACGTAGTAGATATTGTAAAAGTAATTACATAGATAAATTTATATTTCATATAATCATGTATACTTAGTAATGGCTTTGTTCAATATCTATTTTAATTGATATTTTGTTGGTCCGCCCATTATCGGCCAGCTTTTGACCGCGTTAGTCTGACCCACTATTGGCCCTATAAAATGTGACTCTCTTTGACCTGACTCGCAATCGACCTGCACCAACTCTAACCCGATCCCCCCAATAACCAGATCTAGTTCAAATACAAGTTAGTTTAAGTCAAGTAAATTTTAGGGCTATTGTCAATTAAGTAGCTCATTATGGAAATTAGATTGCGTAGTAATTTTATCCCATATATAACTTCATGTTGATTTAATACAATACAATTTGAGTATGTATCGGATTATTTGAATTAGTTTTGTCGGTTCTATATGTATTCATCTTCTACCTATAATAATTCTTGGGTTGCATCTTTCAATATTATCTATGGGGTGGTGAGGTGGGGCATGGCCATACGTGACTTAACCACCTCCTATGGCTTGGGCCATGTAGTTTAAAATGGCCCCATAGATCAGATAATAACCAATTGGGTAAGGCCTAATTGGTCGGTACTTGGTACCTGTCCCATACATTAAAGCTACCACTATTCAGTATACCGCCCCTTGTAAGACTTGTATGAGTTGCAAGCTGCATGCCCTTGATGCCACTCTTAATGAGTCTTAACATACTCTACGTGTCGTGACCAATTACCTTTCGATCAAATTATAGAAAATATTAATACATTTAGTGATGAAAAAGGGGTTTACATACCGTTAACTCAATCAACATAATCATTATATAAGAAACATTATTTTATCAAAACCTAAATTGAATATCTCGAAAGAGACTCTTGTGAAAGCACTCACACACTGACACACATATATCTAACATTACATACTAGCCTCTTATAGAACATGATGTTACGTTACACATTTACGCAATAAAGAAAACAACACGCTATTTATCAAACACATAAATCACAAAAACTATATAATCACATAAACAACGGTCTTACACTAATTTATTGTAATACATAAAACATAATACATACATTATTGTATATTACATTTGAATTTAATTGACTAATAACCTTGAAAATTAAAGGCGGTCATGATTCATTGAGTCATGTAAAATGTTATTGCATGTGATGAGTCTGCCTATTATATAAGTGCAATATACATATAAGACCGTCTCTAATCTGTAGTGGAGAATGCTCATGGACCACCCTTAAAAGACTAATATTGCCTTCTAAAGTTCGGTGTTTCCTTGTGATTTGAATGGGTCATCTATGTTGCATGTCCTCCCTATAGCGAATTTCAAACTTCAAATCATCATTCCATGGTGTTTCCTTTAGATGTACTATACGTACCAAGGAACAGTGTGATTAAGAGAACCGCACCCCTATGATTGTTGCGATAATAAGCTAATTGTATTCCAAAGTGCACAAAATCGTGGTACGTCTGACTTGTGAGTTCTTAACTTGATCTAGCTAACATGTACTTTTGTACTAAGTATATAATAATTATAAATAATAATCCATATACGGAGTAAATAATTAACTAATCAATTTAAGTCTTACCATGCATGTTAATTTAAGGAAAATGTTATACATAGCCCTTAGGGCTATATATATAAGCATTAAATTTACACTTGAAAATCGTAAAAAGTTAAGAAATCATCAAAATATAAACACTAATTACATTGATTTACCGGGTATTAGTTTCTTCAAAAAAAAAAAATGATTAATAAGAGTTGTAAAATTGAGACGGCCTTATTTTCTGTAACTTAAAAATCAATTATGATTAGCAAAGTCAGGTTTGATCATTATCAATGTTTTGAATTTCAAAGTTGGTAAATTAAATGATGAAAAATTCAAGGAAAATCGACATAATAAAAAATTTAAAATATTTGATAAAAAGGTAAAATTTCATTTTGATCGTAAAGACCATTTTATTTGTAATATACTGTAGTAAAAATAATTTTTTTATCAATATATACAAGTTTCAAGAATAAATATACGTCTAATCACGAAAATTAGTTTTAATCAATAAACCTAGTTGTGCTCAGCGACAAAGAGACATGCATGTTGATGAATTTCAAACAACATTCATAGCTTACTAGAACCTCCCAAAACTTACCACTTGCATGTATAGTTAGGACATGTTCATTTCAGTTTCATTTCATTTCAGTTCATTTCCTAATTTCCTTTTCTCATAAAATACGAGTATTTATTTCAGCTCAGCTAAGCTCAATCAGTTTAGTTCAATTCATTCAGTTCAATTCAGCTCAGTTCAGTAAATGTGAACATGTCCTTAATTAACTTTTGTAACCAAGTAAATTAAATTTTGTTATACTAAAATTAGCAACTACTCATCGAGTACAATAAGATAATGCGAACAATAAAAAAAAACAACAATTATATTTCGTATTACACACAATGAAGCTCCATTTTATTGTAGCTTAGTATGCTTCAGAAAAGAAAAAGAAAAAATCTAATCAACTGCCATACTACAGCTTAATCCATTAGCATCTAGCTAGTGACACAACCCTAGGGGGGCAAAAATTAAACTCAATAAAAACAAATTTTATTACTATTATTATTGTAATTATTTCAAATTAAATTAAAGTGCTTGACTTGACTACCCCAAAATTAAACAAAAAAAAAAAAATAGAGAGAAATACACACAAATCACTAAGTCATAAACTTAATTTAACTATTGCATTAATAAACTTCTAATTAGTGCTGCTTGAGTGGTATCTGTTGTTTCTAACAGTTGAGACAATCTCTCACTCAATCCATCTACTTCTCTATGCAATGTTTTGATGTAATTGCAAGTCTCTTGCAATACTCTTGATGCCGATACCTGCAAAATTATTAACCAACAAATTAATTATTATTATTACTCGGGATATCTTTTTGATGGATGTCAATTACCTTAATTGAAAATTCAATCTTGGAAATGAAACCCCGAGACTTAGAATCAAATATTGTATTTATCAATTACTATCATTTGTGACTCTCTATATATAAGCGGAAAAACTTTTATTTTGCTTTTGCGAATACATGCAGACGGGATAACAAATAAATATGACTTAAAAACCTTTTTAGAATTTGTCATGATGACTTAAGCTAAAATTGAACTTGTTCACATTTTAGTGTAAATCGTTGATAATGCTGACACCAACTATCAACTCAAAATATCAAGTCATTTTTTTTACATGAATTATTCCGGACTAGTAGGAAAAAAAGTCAAAAAGTCAATTCACTAGATGCTTTATGAATTTTCAAATTTTGGAATTTCTCGTAATCAAGACTTTAATTTAAAATTAAAATAAAAGGTATAGAGGGAATAATTAAGTCCAAATATAAAATGATGGTCGTAATTTTTGTAACAAGTACGGAGTAATATTGTATCAATATTATTTATTTAGTACTGTATAAGGTTAAATCTAATTTAATTAAATATATAAGGGATCACAAAACAATTACATCAATAATTTCTCAAGGGTAGATCTACAATGAAGATGAAAACATATTTTTTTTATTATATTTAATTTGTGAGACATAGGGAGAAAGAACCGAATGACTAATAATGTAAATAGGATTCGATTCCTTGTAAGACCTTCATACTTTAATCAACTAAATTAGTCGATATATTTGAAAAAATGTAATGTAATGATACATGCAATATCGGATTTACCTTATCGGGGCGTCGAGTGTTATGGAGCTCAGGGAGAAGTTGCTGCAACTTAGAGACAAGATCTTGAATTTGATCATCAGTTATTCTGGAACCTCCAGTTTGCCTAGACCGTGACCTTCTGCTAGACATAATGTTATAAATAAAAATATAAATTTCTATTTATAGAATATATTCACTCACTATAATATGATGATCACTTGGCTTCCAAGCTTGAACTATCATGATATGTCAGAAATATAATGTGGTGTGTTACTTTAGAGAGCGAGGCGAATACTGAATACAAAGTGTGTACATATATATATCTCTATTATATAAGTCGAGGAAATTAAATAAACACGAGTCGAAAAGAAATTAATTTTGGAGGGACAATGCCTAGGAGACAAGGTATGGGAGGGGAGAAGAGATAAGAGGTGGTGGAGGAAAAATAATAAGGAGATGAAGATGAAGAGAAGAGTTTGAAGAAGATTATATATAGTGAAGTATTATAATTAAGTAAGAAAAAAAAAAAAACTAAGTAGTGGGGAGTAGTGTGAAGAAGACAATTGCATGGGAGAAATAAGTGGGTGGGAGTTTGGGGGTATTTAAATAGGGTTATTAGGGTTAGACTGATCGAGGAGAGAGAATTTCAAAGATACGCCAAAATGGCATGGCAACCCTTCTCGCTGTGTTCCCAATTCCCAAACTTGGGGGCTTGCTTTCTTCTATGGAGAGGAGAGATTTTGATTTTATTATATTGCGCGTTTTACACAAAAATATCATATGCAACTGTTGTATATTATATACGGTTAGCTAATCTATTATTTATTGACTGGACAATAAAATATATAATTACTTTTTATTTTTCGATTTAGTTACTTTTGTCGAGGTTGTGAGAGGGTTGTATAGTCAAATGGAGTAACCGTATGATCGATATAGAAAATCGTCTAATAAGAAAGTTGATTCTTTTTGTGGGGAGGGGGGGGGGGGGTAAGGAGACAGATCTTCATTATCTGAAGTGTGTTTGTTGGGACTTATCACTCAATACCATGCTAGGCTGTTAGAGTATGCTAGCTAGATTAAAACTAGTCAAGTCGTCTTAGATGGCGTTATTTTTGAATTGAAACTGAAAATCTTTTTTCATAAACATGTACACAAATTATATGCAAGTACTCGTAATAAACTTTCCTTCTCTTCCATCCCCCAACTAATAGTGTTTGTTCAATTTTTTCCTTTTTTTTTTTTTTTTTTTTGTCAATGTCCTTTGTGATTCTCTTCTCAATTAAATTAGATGGTGTTATATTTAAATTAAAGGGTGTTACTGATTTTTAACAAATTGTACGTATGTGGTTAATATGTCTTTTTTTTTTTGGTAATTAGTGATCTAGTTGTTTGCCATCTAGCTTTCAATTAATAAAAATATAATCTTTCTAAAGGTATGTGGACATACTCTTTCCCCTCGAGGGAAGGTTTTGGATGGTAACATTAGTTTATGAAAAAATATACTAGTTTCATGGCAGGGTTGTATGATCACAATCGATATTCATTACCAACTACTAAAGGTACGGTGTTGTTAATATTATTCATGTAGTATATTGCATTAATGTGTTAGTTATTGTTCTTAGCTTTTATTAACAAACAGTATCAATTTTATAAAAATAGAACGAAATTTGCATTTGTAAAGCAATTGTATATAAATTTCTGATATGTCTCAAACTGTATATCACATAATGATTATGATGGTATAATATCCCTTTTGAAAACAATTACGTAGTATATTGAAATGAGCGAGGATTGCATTTACAACCCAAAAAAGACAACGAATCAATCAATCAAAATTTTGAATAGAGTTATTAATTTCTATTATTAATATAAATTCCACTACAACGTTACTTAAATCAACATCTGTATAGGAAGGATCAAGTTGCATCTACATATATAGTTTAAGGGGTGTGAAAAGTAAATAAAACTATTAAAAAAAAATCGATCATTAGCTTAAACTTTTGGTTGAATTTATTTTGGTCGAATGTTTATTGATCCTCTAACACTAATCACTAAATCAACTTATTGAGTACTCGCTATATACTTGAAATCATAGATGTAAGTTAAAAAACGAAAACTCAACGTTCTCTCTATACTTCTATAGGGATGGGTTGTTCACGTACATGGTTTTATGGTACTCCAATTAATAACATAACTATTGATTTAAAATCATGCATCTTTCTAAATTACTATGGTACAGTACATACTAGCAGCTATAATAGTTGGTACGAATTATATAATTAGTTTTACTCCAATAATTAAGATTAGTATCTGTGAAAAGTACCTGAGATTCCCTTCACACGTTACGTCGCAAATTGTGTTACATTTTTGTTACCTATAAATGGAACTTAATTATAACTAAACCATTTATAGTAAGCTTAGCTTGTCTGTTAGACAACCATATATGATTCACTTCCTAGTCTGAAAATTATATTAACCTAATTTTTAAGTACAATTTGTAGACTGTAGTACACTTCAAATTATAGAAAATATATCATTGGTAGTTTAATGAAACTATGTGCATCATAATTCATATTTGTGAGATTGGATCCTTTGATTTGACTCATTTGTTACTTTAAAAGGATCGGTTTTTAAATGGAACCATTCATGTTAACAATATAATATTCCATGATAAGATAATAAGGAGTACTACTACTTTGTATAAGATTAGACTAGTTTTTTCAATCAATTTCAAATCAAGATTTTTTATAATTATATAATTAAATTTAAGTAATTAAATTCATAATTGTAAAATTAAAGTTACTACAGATTAATTAGTAATTGGGGATTTTTCCTCCATCCCCTTTTTTTTTATTGGGAATGAAGAATCAAAGATGTTGTCTAACATACCCTAAAAAGTAAAGAAGTTATGAGTTTATTTTGATTCATCAATTCGAATCACCAATCATCCCAAGATGAAAAAAGAATATCAACTAGCTAGTTAGGAATTGTTATGTTTTGATAAACTTATAAACAAGTGATATCTAATAAATTTATGTACTTTTAGACCCATTATTCTATGATTGTTTGGTAAAAAGAACATCAACTTTAACTCCTCAAGGACCTCAACTAACCCACCACATGTTTCAATTGATGATCCAAAATAATATTACATGCATGAAGACTATATATTATTCTAGTTTTTGTCTTTGAAAGAAACCTAATAGTACAATAATTTTATTAAAAGAGGTAATTATTTGGTGGGTCCCTCCCTTCTTATTAGCCTATGAATATGCCAAATGGCTTTGTTTGGGTTCAATAGCATGTGAGGAGAAGGAAAGGGTAAAGGGAAAGGGGTCATCCCTCACATGATGTATTAGTGAGAAGTTGAACTTGAAACCTCAAAATTAAATGATCAAGTGACAACTTTTACTACTAAAGTATAGCTTAACTTGGTACTATCACATATACATGATTGATTTTAGCTCAATTTTCATTATTGATATTCTACAATCATATACTATTATTCTTTGTATGGTTCATATATAGGTGTAGTTTCAAGAGATTAGTACACTTATTGAATATTCTAGTTTGTCCTTGATATTTTTTAATTGTATCATAAATTATATATATGGAAAATATATTCGATCTAATCGAAATCGATTAAAGCCAACTATTTATATAATATTAAGAAGGTTGATAATACACTACCCCTTTGGACTTTAACATAACTCAATTAATAAACAAGTTGATGAAATCTTTGACTAGGGAAAAGTCTATCAAATAATAGAATTCCAAATCAATTTATAACCTAAACACATAAATAATAAATAGATCAAAACTAATACGCATGTAAGTTATTTAGTAAATAAGACTAAGAATTTTTATTGTTCTCTTGGAATGCCCTTATTTCATAAAATCTTTGTTCTTGTTAGAATCAAGTAATACAATAATAATTCGCATATATCAAATTAGATGGAAATTAAACTTATTTTTGTTTACTTAATTATTACTTAGTACTAAATATTGCTTCTTTTTTTTTTTTTTTTTTTTTGACAACAGCACTAATTAATGTTAGTTATGTGTAAAGTGATGCACTATGTGAGCATAAAACATAAAACCTAGGCCTCTACCTTAAACTAACAGTTGAAACCCAAGATCGATATATATGCTCTATCATTATGAAATTAAAATACACACTTTAAACATTATACATTGAGACAAATTTAACAATATTACTTAATGATGTTTTCTGTCATATGTCATCTAAATATTTTGATTAAGAAGATTCCATCATAAACCAGCCTATTTAATCAAACAAGTTGTGTTAGCTCAATTATGAAGTACTAGAATTAAAATCAATTCATTTTAGGAAAGTAGGGTAATGCTACAAATGGGGTTATAGACAACATAATTAAAACTATAGCTTACACAATATGCTTATCAACTAATAATGAAGTGCTTAATCATTTAATTTCCCTATTATTGACATGCATATGATCAAGATCAACCTTTCAAAATGAGTCCAAGTGACTTCTGAGTATAAATCAAAACTTTAGTATATAGTAGTGTAGTATAGATATAGTACATCAAAAGCTATATATTATAATGTATTTTTATTTTAATTGGACAAGAAGTATGAAGGCGGTTGAGAGATGTAAATAGACAACAAGGATTGACCGGTCAAAATAAAAACGGTGGAAAACTGTAAACACCATTTTTTGTGGTTGTGTGGTTGTCGAGAGCTACAACATGAAACGTGGTGCATCCATATTTTAGATACAATCTTAATACTTCCTCAATTTCATTTTGGATACATTACTTTCTAATTAAGAAAGTTGATAAATCTTAATACTTCCTCAATTTTATTTTGGATACATTACTTTCTAATTAAGAAAGTTTTAAATTAAATGCATCGTTTTTCTTTTAGATAATTGAAAGTAGTAATAGGATGGGTGACCTCCTGAGAAGTCCTAATATTGATTTATGTAGCTTGACTCCCTTTATGAGATTAAGGCGTTTCAGTAGAAGAAGAAGATTTTTCTTCTGAATTTTTCTCTCATATTAGATGCACTCCTTTTTTTCTATTTTATATCACTCATTTTTTAAAAGTGTTTAAAAATTCATGTTTTTAAAAATGATGCATTTAAAACAAAACAGATAAAATACTTGGTATTAGTATGAAAATTAAAATATTATGTGTAATTGTGTAAGCATTACACCGACCTCTTTCCGTATTAAACTTTGCGCATCATATTATTGGAAATATAAGTGTATAAAAAGTATAGTTTAAAAAAAAACAGTTGTAAGAAATTGTGATTGTTACTAATATGCTTGGCTCCAAAATCCTCTTTCAATTACTATGTCATTGATCAACCGCTTCTCTCAAGTTACGTGGCCGTAAATTTCCAAATTATGGCACTAAATTTTGTGATAGATACTATTAATTACTCGTACGTAGTAGTTAGGTAATGCTCACCTCTATGCATGTATGTTTCATGTATTTTGGATTGGAATATAATGTGATCCAAAAACGTTAAGGTCATGTTTGTGATAAACACGCTAATTTAATACTTATCGGATTGGGAAAGGTTGTATCGTACGTACGTTTTTTAGGTTGCTTCTAGATACGGTGAAAGCAAGGGAGAATATATAGGAACAAACAACTTAAAAGTTAAAAGTCATAGTTTGTACCATTTGGTCATGTTTAACT